GTTGTGGTCCCCGAATTACAAGGTTGTTATTTTTATATTTTTGAAATCTCGTCAAAAAAAAAACTAGTTTCAAGGCGTCATGTTGATTCAGAAGATCCTACTGTCGGACGCGAACAAATTTTTTGCGATGAATTCAGTTACACTTCCGCTTATATTTTTCTTTAATTCAGTACGAGAATGTATGTTTAATTTTTATAGATCTACATATTTAAAAAGAATTTTTATTCTAACAATAAATAATGATGAACAAGAAGTATCCTTGCCATGGATACTCTATGAGAAGCTTTAATATATATGACTCAGAATCGAGAATAAATTGTAATTAAAAACTAGAAAGATATACTTAGTTTTAAAGGTATGGAACAACAAGAAGATGTATTGAGAAATGACAAGCCAAATCATTGTGTGCGAGGTTTTACTTATTAAAATTTAGATGAGTATCAAGATAATCTATTTTTGGTGGAAAAGAAAAATAAAAAACTAAAATAAAAAAATTAGAATAATAAAAAAGTAAAAAAAAAAGAATAAAAATAAGGGAAATAAAGAAGAAAGATGATGATATTCAAAGTTTACTTATGAAACTCCAGTATAAAATAAGAATATGTAAGAAAGACTAGTAAGATGAAAGTCAAAAGTAAGAACAAATAACACCATGTTTGGATAAATTTTAGTGATGGTTAATTAATGTATGGTAATGACAATAATTGGATGATAATGACATATGATGGAGATGACAAAATTTTTCTACGTTTAGATGATTGTATATTAATGTATATTAATAGAATATTTTTATTTAGATGATAGGACGGTATGATTGTAGTTTCATTCAAATTACTAATTTATCCACACCTATTTATGTAATAGTAAGTAGTATATAAGAAGTATATAATACAAAAAAATTAAATTGTTTACTAATATAATTACATTTGTATTTAAATAAATAATTATTATAAATTAAGTTTTTATATTTAATAAAATAAATAATAAATTATGAGGATAAAAATAGAATTAAGTATATTATATGGGGATATAAAGAAAAAAAAGTAACATGTCATTCACATACCACCAATTCGATGGTTTTAAAATTTATCTCAAATTTGTAAGTCAGATACCGTTTGTTACCATTGGAAGTTAAAACAAATATAATTTTCTCACGTAGAATACCATACATTAAACTTCTATCATTTACTATGATCCAAACAGAGTGTAAGTGTAACACCCAAAATATTTTTTTATATTATTTTTATTTTTATTTATTTTTCTTTTTTTGTATTTGAATGTTTTAGATTTTAATTTAATTTAATTTAAGTTAATTTAATTTAATTTAATTTAATGAAAATAAAAATAATAATAATGATAAAATTGGGTAAAAATATTATTTGGATTTAATTGAAATTGATTTTGGGAAAAAATGGTGAAAATTTGGATTCTGATGGTGTTTTTGAAAAGAAAATCGAAGACTAGGGGTCAAAACGCAATTTAAAAAAGTTGTGCTATGTCAGCAGCCACATCAGCAGCCCGGTCAGCAGCCACGGCCAACCAGGACACGCCATGTGGCAAGAAAACGCTGACACGGGACGGGTCATGTGGGCGATCCGCGTGCGCGCAATCGGACAGCCCAGATCCGTTCCCGTGCGCACGGAAGACCCAGATTTCACGCGTACGGACGGCCTAGATCGCATCGCGATGGACGACTCAGATTTAATCTCAATTAAATCGCAATCGGACGGTCCAGATTTAATCTTGATGGACGGTTGAGATTAAAAGGCAAAGGGTATAAATAACCCCATCCACACCTGACCACAAAACCCTAGCCAACAGTGCCTCGCCAGAGAAGAAGAACCAGACGCCGGAGAAGCCGGTCGCCGCCACTCGTCGCCGCACCAGAGAAGCTTCTGACCGCCAATCGAGGTAAATTTTCTCCCCCTGTCTCATTTTTCGATGCTGAATCATCCTATCACCAAACCGGAGCCAAACCACCGGCCAAGCTGCCGGAAAATCCCGCCGAAGTCCGGCGCCACCGCCGCGACTCCCCTCTGTTTTTGCCTCCGATGAGGCCCTTTCCGGCCTCCATTCAATGCAAATTTTATACAACTGTGATCACCGTTCTTTTCTCTACAGGTTGATCGAAGCCAAACATCAAAACGCGACTCACGCCAGAGGAGCCGCCGCACCCGAGAGCACCGCCGCCGGTAAGTCTCGATTTTTTTTATTTTTTGGCCTACCGAGGGCCCTAGGGTTGTTTTATCGCAGGGACCGATACAAGTTTGGTCGAATTCGGCCGAAAACGGCCAACCCGAGGCGGATCGCCGTCGTCGGAGCACGACGGAGTCGTCATGCCGGAATTCTGATATTGGCCGGAAGGGGCCCTAGGTCTTATTTGGGATTTTTTGGGACATGTGCAGGTACCGATAGCGCGTTTCAGTTTTCCGAAAAAAAAATCAGAAAAATTAGGGACAGCTCGTAGTCGCACTGTAGAGTCTATTTCAGACCCCAAAACAAGTAAGGACCCCTCACCCTATTTCCTATCACGGTATTAAAGCTAAATAAATAATTAAACTGTACTGTGTGACTTTATAGATGTATAATTGATTAAGGTTGTCAATGGAGCCCGAGTCTGATACATTATTGGTCAGTTGTTCTTTGATCAAATTTTCAGTATTAAATGCAGTATGATATTTGATGTAATTATGTTATAGTCTCGTATACATGAATCATGGTTTCTTTTTTTATGGTTTGTATTATGGTGAACCCGATACTATGTTGTCTTGTTTGGTATCAATTACTAGTTTACATGTTGTGTATGATTGGATGGTTGAGATCAAGAAAAAAGGCAAAATGGATAATGTGGACAGCCTGACTAGATATCTTGGGAGATGGTGGACGGACCGGATCCGTAGGGAACCCTACCGGGAACGTGGTCTCTCATACCGGACGTGGTATGAAGACCTTATGTGTTTTGGCGCCCATACCAGACTGGGTATGAGGACAGCCCGTTTCACCCTCATACCGGACCGGGTATGGAGGTTTATGGTTTTGGCGCCCATACTGGACAGGGTATGGGGACAGCCTTGGAATCAGGTTATTAATGTTAATGGTTCACGGGTAGCGGGAACCCCCTATGGATCCCCATGGATACTAGTAGGCTGGTAAAAGAAGAAAATATGTTGTTTAATGATTGAAATGTAAAGGCGTGGTAAGTATTATGTTATAAAGTCTATATGATTTCATGATGATGATAATGTTATTGCTTTCATATGTTGTTTTCATGG